TAGTCCATGGATAAGAGGTTGATTGTTGTCTTCAAGGTGTACTACCTGTGACGTACATTTGCACAGCTCATCAAGGATACTAATGGTGAAGATGCATTTCCATCAGGGAATTTTTGGTGCAATTATAACATCATGAAGGCAATGGAAAGCATTGGATAGTCATGGGAAGTGACCCTCAAGTACATGAAGTGTGTGTGGAAAAAGCTGTGGCATGACTGCGTAAATTACTTCGTTAGTTTTGAACCTGATATGCCTCAAGTTCATAACAACATTGTACAGCTTGCAAAACAGGCTGGTTTCAATTAAGTTAATGATGATGATATGAAGGAGTTACTAAATTCTCATGGGGAGAGTTTAACAATTGAAGACCTCCTAGAGCTGACCCAACAAGCAGAAGACGTGGCTGCAAGTGACGCTGCTGAAGAGACTCCACATTTTTGTCGTCGAAACATATTTTCCATGTATTACATGTAAGTCAATGGGTTAGTCGGCCCTATTGTTCGTTGTGGCCCTCAAGAATGCGTCTACGACGAATAATGATTCAGTAAGCTCTGCAATGTTACAGCCAAGTTGAGTCACTGAAACTGTTAGATTATAACATACAAGTTCAAGAGCTTATTGTTTGATGTTGTTGTATAGATTTTTTCTTGAAAAGCTATGCAAAGGGTTATCTGTCCATAGCCATCAATAATTTTGAACTTATAAACTAAAGGGAACTCAAGTAGTCAACGGCACTTCTTCCAACTCTTGGAATATTCCTTTTTATCCATAAGGTAGGATTTGACTATCTTTCTTATAGCACACCCATGGCCCCAAAGTGAGTTGCATGTTTTTTTACGACAACAGGACGCGAACTTTGAAATCTCAAATGCAAGTCCCAATACACAAACCACTGGGCCTTGTCCGCCCACATTCTAAAGAAAGAAAGACTTCCAATCACAATTAACATTACAGGAATATCGAAAATGGAGAAAACCTGAGTGCTCTGTAGTCATGAATTTCTACTCTGCCACAATTATACTTTTATTGTGGTATCCCAACTCCAGCACCTTCTAAGATTCTATTCCGGCACCATAAGCACGAGAAAGGATGAACATTCTTACAAACTGAGCGATATAGCTACCAGCTCTAATTAATTCTAATAAAACACCATTTTAACTACTGAAAATTAACAGGTTACCACATTTCGACTTTCTACCATACAAGAGTCTCATAAAGTGTTTTAGTGCAACAACCCTTCAGCTTCCTATCGCTGATACAATGTATTAAAAAAAGATTAGTGTTATTCCTAATTACTCTAAAAGGTAATCTCCCTCTCCCCTCCAGGGAACTATTTTTTTATTATAAAAACATACTTATACCACACTATGTAATTTTCGTCATGCAGTCAAATCTATATTCACTTATTGTCAGTAAAGGACAAAGTCTACTTCCTATTTTACAGCAGTCAATGGTCGCTGGACCTCGTGGTCTTCGTGGTCAACCTGTGGCCTAGACTGCAGGCACCACCGTCGTCGAACCTGTTCCAATCCTAAGCCAGCTAACGGGGGCCGTTATTGTGAGGGCAAGGATTTGTCAACAGGAAATTGTACAGGAGGCATGTGCAGAGGTAGGTTTGTCTTGTTAATGCATTAACGTAGAATCACATGGATGATTTTATTTCTATTTCGAAAATCGTTCACTTTCTGAATTGGTAAGTTGATAACTACAATTTGAATGGAACAGGCTTGATCCATTAATTGATCGGCTGGAACGGCCAAAGTTTCAATATCAGGATATATATATATATTAATTGTAAAGTTAAACACCATGTCAAATATTATAAAATTTCACGAGACTGTATATAAAACTTCTAAGACAATCAACAGGAGAGTGGCCGGTCTTGGGCATTTTAATGCTAATAAAAGTTAAATCGACATATCCGAGACATAAGTAAACAAGCTTAGTGTGTTCAACGTAAAAAGTAACTCGTTGTTTAACAGATAGATAACTGAAATATCAGTTAGCGATTTTATACCAACGTTTAGATATGATGAGAATATGAAACCTTTACAGTGGAGTGTATATCATAGTTATGTGAGTTTTCTAAAATTTCTGTAACTTGATCTTCACACTCAATAACCAGAATCATCACGTGACTCATTTCACGTCTTAGGCCAAGACAGATTTATATTTTGTACGGTTTTAAATAACTTAATATTTGCAACTCTAGAAACGGGAAGCTTCACTTGCGGTCTCAAGTATTCATTTGAATATATTGGGTTACATGTCTTGTTGTTGATTTGAAATGGAAGTAATCATGCATGCAAAGTCTCTTGGTTTCAAAATACGTAGAGTTCGGTTTTATGTTTATAGTTTAATGTAATCAAGAGAAAAATCACCTATCTTACTCTTTTTCCAGGTGAAATATTATATGTACAGAATTATTAAAAGTACAAAAATAGGAATTATTTTGATATTCTGAAAACATATTATTAAAAGGGAAAACTTTAAATTTTTTAAATTGAATAATCAAAATGTATTAAAGTTATTTCATCTTGCTTGTTATTAGCTGGTCGAGAGCCAGATAACCTCCGTTCATACGATCGAAGTCACAGCAAAGAAGGTAAGAAAAAAATATATTAATTTTCTCTATCAATTTGCTACTTTAGTATTCGAAATTCCATTTATAAATCTGAGCTTTTATCTCTGTATTTCTTCTTGTGTTATCTGTATCCATAGTTTAATGAGACGCACAAAAAAAGCATTAATGAAACTCTTGTTTCACTGATTCGTATTTTTAAACCTGATATTTATGTTTCGTGAATCTGTACAGTCTAAAAAGGCCCCCAACCTTATTAGTACATGGTTGTCAATTGCAGAAACAGAAAACCGTGACGTCAAGAGTCCCTCTCGGTTATATGATAAAATCTGATATTTGTTCCACAGCTACGGCAGTCACAGGAAAAGCCTGTATAGAAAGTATAACAGTCCAAGGAAATTAAGACTGATTATTTAATAAAAAATAAAAAAATGATATCCGGTCCTTTGTGATGCCGCGAAAGAAAGCGGGAAATGTCATGATGTAATCGAGGAATATAAACTTCAAACTAATAAGTTATATCCCACATTTTAAAACACTTTAACTATCATGCTTATTTGATATAAATTAATTGTTTCGTGCTTAGATATCGTAATTGTGCGTTTGGTTTGCTGTGTCATGACGATATTCCACACTAAAAATATTCAGAAATTTTGTTCCTAAAATAATTTTTGTTTTTGTTTTTACCAGTAAAAATAAGTCATTCATATCATTCCACGTTTTAATATTTGTTATAAAAATGCTCTTCTGTAGAGTTAGCTTGTATAGTCTGGTATAATATATGCCTTAAGGGGGGGTGGGGAAGAGGAGGAAAGCATACACTTGTCAGTATAATACAGTTTTTTTTTCTAAGGAAGAAATTATTTGTTTGTTTGTTTGTTTGTAATTAAGCACAAAGCTACACAATGGGCTATCTGTGCTCTGCCCACCACGGGTATCGAAACCCGGATTCTAGCGTTGTAAGTCCGCAGACATACCGCTGTGCCACTGGGGGGCATTTGTTTGTTTGTTTTAGCACAAAGTTACATAATTAGCTATCTGCGCTGTGCCTTCGCAGTGATCGAACCCTGTATTTTAGCGTTATATTCCCCGGAACTTATCACTGAGCCAGCGGGGACGAAAATTAAGCTTTAACAGCCATTCTTTTAGACCGTAGCTTACTGACAATCTATGTAAAACTCTTTTGTTCCCCTTAGATTAACGTGATAAAAATGGCTCATGTTGATCCTGTGATCGAGTTCTGGATTTTGGAGCTGGCGAGCTGGATTTGAATCCACGCGATACCACAAAATATTCCTCGTACCTTAAACTGTGTATGCATTATAAGAATGATAGTTAATCCTTTAGCGTGGATGGCAGGGTGCTGCTGACTGTCTGTCCTCCATCTGGTTTGTTGTTCAAAATTAGAGAAGGGCAGAAAGACTTAATAGCGTTACCATAAATACAAATACACATGGAAACATGGTTAGTATGGCTTATTTCTGGAATATATATTATTATTCCCAAATCCTACCTCCCTGTAATCTGATTGTTGACTTAATTCAGAATCTGATAGTTTATATTCTTGTATAATTTAATATTGCTACTATACAAAATAGATCCTGTACAGTTTTCATTAAGAAAGCCCACAAAACAGTTAAGTATGTGAGTCTAAATACCCCAATCAGGGCACTAAATCACAAGCGTCTAAGACATAGGGTAGAAGGAGCACGTGTTACCCACTTTTCTGTTATTAACAACTATGTTAGATTGACTTAGCTTTTTAAGTGCATAAATAGTTTAACAAATATTATTCGAAAAGCTGATGAAGTCCCGTACTTCATTGGTAACTCTAGAATTACGAAGTCTCCTTAGACCATATGACCTACAAATTAGTTTTCCAAAGTTTCGCCCTATATCGAGTTTTGTGAGCTTAAGTCAGAAATCGAAATAATACGTCTACTTAAAAGGAGGAATATATATGTGTTTATAATATTGTTTGATTGTTTTTTGAACAAAGTTATATTGGGTTATCTGTTGTGTCCACCGCGTTGTTAGTCTAAACTTTACCACTGTCCCGTCGAGATACCATATTCATAAGCCGTTATTCGTCTTTTAATTTTCAGTTCAATTAATCAAATACCACATACAAGAGATTTAATTATTTTGTTTTGTTCTGAAGTTAAGCACAAAGCTACACAATGGGCTATCTATGCTCTGCCCACCACGGGTATCGAAACCCGATTTTAAACGTCATAAACCGCCAAACTTACCGCTGATGGTAATTTGATGAAAATTAAAATATCTACTTCATTAAGTCTGCCCCCCCTAGTGGCACAGCGGTATGTCTGCGGACTTACAACGCTAGAA